ATTCGTCCAACTAATTTTTTATAACTAGCCCCCTTAGTGTCCATCACACTATACTCTGCTGCAGTAAAGCATGCCTCTCATCATGCTTAGAGGTGTGCTGCCTCACCGCAGACTAATAACTTTGAATGAGCCCCAATGCAGCAAAAGTTTGCTTGCAATTATTTCACACCGCAACACACCACGACACACACCATGAGTTGGTGAATTGCATGCTACACGACTAATGTGTAAGGTAAAGTCTACAGGCTTGGAAAAATCTGTATGTAAATGAATAGAAAACTGGCTAAAAGATCGTATTCAGAGAGTAGTGGTTAATGATTTATACTCTGAATGGTCTAGGGTTGTCAATGGTGTACCCCAGAGTTCAGTGTTGGGACCCTTACTTTTTATTATATTTATAAATGATACAGGGTCTGGGATTAAAAATACTATTTCAGTATTTGCAGATGACACCAAACTGTGCAGTGGAATAACGTCCTTACAGGATGTCTCCAATTTACAAGCCGACCTCAATGCTCTGTGTAATTGGGCAACTATGTGGCAAATGAGGTTTAATGTTGATAAATGTAAGGTTCTACACTTGGGGGCTAAGAATATGCATGCATCATACATACTAGGGGGGGTTACAACTGGGGGAATCAATGGTGGAGAAGGATCTGGGAGTTCTGGTAGATCACAAGCTTAATAATGGCATGCAATGCTAAGCTGCGGCTTTTAAAGCGAGCAAAATCCTCTTGTATTAAAAGAGGTATAGACTCCAGAGAAAGATGTATCATTCTAACCCTGTACAAATCATTAGTAATACCTCATCTGGAATATGCAGTTCAGTTTTGGGCATCAATTCACAAAAAGAACATTGGGGAACTGGAGAAAGTGTAGAGAAGGGCAACCAAACTGATAAGAGGCATGGAGGAGCTCAGCTATGAGGAAAGATTAGAGGAACTGAATTTATTCTCTCTTGAGAAGAGGAGATTAAGGGGGAATATGATCTCCATGTATAAATACATCAGTGGTTCATATAGTGAACTCAGTGTAGAGCTATTCACCCTGAGGTCATCACAGAGGACAAGGGGGCACTCTTTACGTCTGGCGGAAAAGAAATTTAATCTCCAAACCAGGGGCGGACTGACAACTCATGGAGCCCCCGGGCAATAGGGGATCATGGGGCCCCTCTGTCCTTGCCCAAACTCAAAAAAGCCTATGAAAAAGGTACCAGGGGCATCTCATGGGGCCCCCTACTGACCCCAGGCCCTCGGGCACAGAAAGGTTCCTTCACAGTAAGAGCTGTGAAAATGTGGAATAGACTTCCTCAAGAGTTGGTTCTGGCCAGCTCAGTGGATTGCTTTAAAAAAGGCCTGGATTCTTTCCTAGATACACAGAATAAAACTGGATATAACATTTATAGGTAAAGTTGATCCAGGGAATATCCGATTGCCTCTCTGGGGATCAGGAAACAATTTTTTTCCCCTGCAGGAGCAAATTGGACCATACTTTGCTGGGTTTTTTACTTTCCTCTGGATTAACTGTGGTTGTAGGATTATAACTTTTTTTAATGGTTGAACTGGATGGACTTTTGTCTTTTTTCAGCCAGGCTAACTAAATAACTATGCAGCGGTGAAAAAATAACTGGATTAATGGCTGGAATTTAAATTGTGAAGAACTTTTCTGAAGTGCTGAAAACCCTGGCAGACTGAAACACAGGGAACTTGAAGAATATTGCACTGATATTTGGGGTCCCAGGGATTAAAGGTTCAATGCTGATGATTAGACAGGTACAGAAATTCGCAATCCGTATGCAAAGCCTTCCTTGTTGAATGGTTAATATTGCCAGTGCACTGTATATGGGACCTGCACACTGCTGTATGCTGGCGTTAATCAGAGCGCACACTAATTAAGCTGAGATAAGGATTAAACGTTGTTATGTACCACTGAGCGGGTCCAGATGCTGATGTACTCAGTAAGTTAACACCTTGCCTCCCGCTGTCTTCAATAAACCGCAATCACAAATTATATCTGTTTACTTACATCATCCTATGCATTCTATACAAGATCTTTCCCATGTGGATTACAGATAATCCAGAAAAATGCAGACCCCAGGCATATTCCAAAATGCACAACTGCCCCTGTTCTCTCTGTGCAATTACAACACTGTGAAGATAATTTGTAAGGCATAGTACAACAATGTACTACTTTTTTGCCTACTTGCTGCTTTTTCTTTTTCTTTTGGATGGAAAAAGGAAAAAGTAACCCCCCCCCCTTTTTTTTTGCTCTCTATATGCTATTGGAGAGTTCCCTTCACAGAAAAGAATCAGTAAGGACTCATTCACGTCAGCAGTACGTGTTATACTTGTATAACACTTGGTTGATGGTGTGTGCTATGAATGAGCAGCCTGATTGCAATGCAATGTGCAGACAGTTTTTACATTTTTTTTATTGAAACCGTCAAAACTGTAACATTTTGGATTTCCTATCACTTCCTGTTCTGGTGACCATTGTCAGGAAGCGATGGTGCAAATATCTCTTTTTGACCCCTTTGCTCAGCAGGGGATCTGATCTCCTGCTGAACAGAGCAGACTGGGAAGATGACAGGTCGGTGTCAGCTCTGTTTATGCAGAGCAGACATGGACACAGTCCACTCTGCTCTATGGTAGGTCGGGTGTAAACAGACCAGCTGTCCATTTACACCTGACTCACTCCATTCTGATCTACCAACACGGAAATGAACGGATCCGCCTCCAGTTATTTTTTCAGCAGACCTGTTTGGAGCAGAGGTAGGTGGGTGTAAATGGATATTTACACCTGCCGATCCATAGAGATGAATAGACCGTCCGTTCAGGTCCACCTGAAAAACTGACAGGCGGACCTGATCTGATTGGTCGTGTGAAAAGAGCCTAAAGGGAAAATACTATGATTTTTCTCTATTTTTTTAAGTCGGGAATACACAAATTAAAGCCTAAGCTCATCTCTTGCAAAAAAAAGCATCCATAATGATTAATAACTGCATTATTATTTTTGCATGGGAGCCTGCAAAGCATTGCAACCACGATCAGTGGATAAAACATGGTCAGAAAGGTTGACTTGAACCAACCAAAAAAAAAAACGTTTTCCTCTTTTTTTTAGTTATGTAAATATAGATTGTTGCATAATAAATACTTTGTATTCTTCTATCAAGTCAGCAGGTGGCGCTTCAGGCTCCTCTTTAACATGTTTCTCTGTATTTCCAAGCTGCAGCTTGTACTTTTTGTCTGAAATATCTCAGCTGTTTAGGTATGTGTTTGCAGGTTTTTATACCCTGTTGATTAGATATCCTTGATTCTGAAGCACAGCTCCACTTGGATCTTACAAGTTTTTTTTCAGAGTTCCTCCTGTAACATAGCTTTATTACCTGCTGATCCTGCCATTACATCCATTATTTTTGTCTTCTAGATGTGAAAGTGTTTAACAAAATAAATTTAAACAACAACTATAAAGTCCATCAATTAGTCCATCAACTATTACCCCTAATTACCCTAAAATATCATAGTGAAAAATAGTTCAAACTGTTCAAAATTCTTCCAACGATCTCCCAGATGTTTATACCTCAAAAAAAGAAAAGTATCACATAGTGCATTATCCTTCATACAACATAAATTCAATTCATCCCCCGCACTCAGTACAGTGAATAAATGTGAAAAGAATGAAAAAACATGAAAAAGACGTGAATTAATTAGTGAAAACACTGTGTGTGTGAATCACCCTTCAGTGCCACAAAAAGTTGCAAACCAGTGTGCACTTCTACTTAAAGTAAGGGTACCCTTACCAACACTCCCAATAACACATGCTTATACTGATCCAACAGCTTTCCCAGGAATAGGTAATCTCCACAATCCTCCCTGGATTCCTTAACCTCAATGATCCCAATGACTCCAGACGCTTCACTCCATCCAGAGATAAAATATGAGGGACATAATAGTGTGATACCACCAATCATATAATAATATGACCTTTATTCATACTGCTTACATCAAAAAAGCCTTTAAAATCACTTGTTTGTAAATACATAGACCTCACAGCCATCCAGGAAAAACGTCCAAGTACTCCAAATGCGATCGTTTCCCTTCTCCAAAATGGCCGCCGGTCAACTTCTGGTTCCTGTGTCTTGATGTCACTTCCCTTGACGCGTTTCGTCATCGACTTAATCAACCTTCATTTTTTTCACATTTATTCACTGTACGGAGTGCGGGGGATGAATTGAATTTATGTTGTATGAAGGATAATGCACTATGTGATACTTTTCTTTTTTTGAGGTATAAACATCTGGGAGATCGTTGGAAGAATTTTGAACAGTTTGAACTATTTTTCACTATGATATTTTAGGGTAATTAGGGGTAATAGTTGATGGACTAATTGATGGACTTTATAGTTGTTTAAATTTATTTTGTTATTTTGTTAAACATTTTCAAATATATAATTTGTTACACCTTCAGGGGAAGGTGTTTGTGTTGAGGGGTTTTAGTAATTTTTTTGGAGGTGGTTTTTGATTGAAATACATTATTTTTGTCTACCTTTAACAGGGTAACAACTGTTTGTTCTGCAGTGAAGTGAAACAGCATTGTTGTCACCAGGGAAGTCTTAGGCTAGGTTCACACTTATGCAGTTTGTGTTTGACCCGTTTCTGCATAGCGTTTTGTGTTGCGTTTTTGTACCTTTGTTTTTTGCCGTGTTTTTGTTTTTTTTCTTGTTGCTAGGCAGATTTAAAATGCAAAATGTATAAAAAAAACACGGCAGAAATGCAGCACAAATGCACTACATGCTTTTCTGCAGCATTTCCATTGAAGTTTATAGAACCAAAAACACAACTTTTTGCATTCAAAAAAGTCCCTGACCCTTTCCAAAAAATGCACCAGGTGAAAACGCGGAGATGTGAATGTGTCCCATAGGAAATCATGTTAAATGGACCGTAGTGCATTCCTGCAAAATGCTGCAGAAAACACTTAGGTGTGAACCTAGGGTAAGACGGACTTTAGGTAAGTGACAAATAAATTAAAAGCTAATTCCAGCTATCAATTTTGAAGTTGTTATAGCATCTTTTTCATGGAGAAAAGGTTTTCATTTGAGTAAAAGCTGACCACTGTAAGCACCCCCAGTAGGGTTATATACATAGTATGTCCCAGGGGCGGACTGACCATTTGGAAACTCGGGCAGTGCCCGAGGGCCCGGGGTCAGTAGGGGGCCCCATGAGATGCCCCTGGTACCTTTTTCATAGGCTTTTTTGAGTTTGGGCAAGGACACAGGGGCCCCATGATCCCCTATTGCCCGGGGGGCCCTATCAGTTGTCAGTCTGCCCCTGGTATGTCCTACCCCCTGTAACTGGACTGAACTGGACAGCTCTGTCCACGTGTAAACATGGAGAAAAATATAAATAAAGGCGTTTGAAATGAAAAAAGAAATATACACCAAATACTATCATTACAGTTAATGACCACATACAGTTACCATATTACTAAATTTTTGGATGTTGGGGTCCTTTACCTGGTGTCTGACCAATAGATAGTAGATAGTGAGCTGTGACAGTAGATAGTAGATTGTGAGCCCTCTCCATGCACAGACATAAATTACTTGCTAAACTCTGTATGATATGTAGATGCTATACAGATGGGGTAAATAAATCATGGCAAATAATTTAGTTACAGTCTGCTTTATAAGTAAGACCTAGTATAAACCCATACAGCCAGGGGCAGACTGACAACTCATGGGGCCCCCGGGCAATAGGGGTTCATGGGGCCCCTGTGTCCTTGCCCAAACTAAAAAAAAAAAACTATGAAAAAGTACCAAGGGCATCTCACAGGGCCCCCTACTGACCCTCGGGCCCTCGGGCAGTGCCCGAGTTTTCAAATGGTCAGTCCGCCCCTGCATACAACTTAAGGTGAAACGTTTAATAACTTTACATGTCTGTATGAATAAATACAATATACAGAAATAGCATAACTTTACAAACTATCCACCATACCTTTTATTACATAGCAGTCCTTGAGCACCAGTCAGCTTTGCTTCGACTGAGATGACATCATCAGTTTGCTTCAAGCAGAAGGAAACATTTCCTCAGTCTCCTCTCCCCCAGTGATCACACTAAAACATTGTAACTTTGCTGCAAGACACATACAGTATAGTGTTGTGGACCTGTATGAATGTGGGCAGAAATAGGCAGACACATGTCCTTTTGAATCATACATAGCGATTAAATGGGTCCAATTTTCATCGATCACAAGATGGAGTAAAAAAGCAGACATGGATGTCACAAATATTAAATCCATATCCATTCTAATCTGACTCAGCAGGTGATCATTCTATTGATCAGTCTAGGATCCCCTGCTGATACAGAATGGAGGCACCCATGTGAATGGTGCCTAAGGGTCAGTTGACAGCGCGTTCCTGTGCGATTCACATGCAGTCTGGGTGCAGTGTGATTTCAGCCCATTCATTTGAATAGGCTGAAATTGTGCCAGACCGCACCAAAAGTAGTGCATTCACTACTTTAAAATACAAACTGCAACTGGATTGTATGCTACTACTGTAACATGCAATCCTGTGCAGGCAAATGCACTGTGTTTACAACCTGCGTTTGGGGTGTTGTTAAAGCGGAGCTCCACCCAAAAGGGGAAGTTACGCTTTAATGCTTTGTCCCCTGCTCCCTGTTAAAGATTGGCACCTTTGGGGAGTGGGTACCGGAATTTGACAGGCACCCACTCCCACTTCGCCTAAGGCGATCGGAAACGGAAGTTGCCCTCCTCCCCCATAGTCTTCTGGGACATGTGACAGGTCTAAGAAGACTACGGGCCATTCACAAAGAGCAGCGCTACCCATGAATGCGCAGTGGGTACCCAGCTGTGAAGCCTCAAGCTGTCACAGCTGGGTACACACACTAAGGAAGCTGGTGCCAAGGAGAGAAGATGGCTGGTGAAACCAGCCATGGTGAGGACACCGCTGGACCGAGGGACAAGTAAGTGTCTGTATTTTACTACAGTTTGTAGCTGTTGACTTTTATTTTTTTTTTTTATTCAGCTGGAACTCCACTTTAAGTTAACACTGACGCTCGCTGCAGATTGCAAGTACAGTGCATTTTAACTGTGGTGTGGGAAACAGGTCTTCTGCACTACGTTCTGGTGTGAAATGGCCATCATATTACAGATAGGAAAGCTGCCATTCCCAACTTTTGAACTGGCAAGGTACAGGGCTTGTGAAGCATCTTCCTTGCTTTGCAATTTATTTAACACTGAAGAAGTACATGGACAGTGAAGTCAGGGCTTGTTTCAGGTCAGTCAGTAGTGAAGAAAAGACAAGGCTGCCACCCTTGAAGTTGACAAGTTTGTAATGGTAGAGACTAAAAAACAAAATTGTGTTCTGCTGACACCTTAGATCAAATGAAAATATTATTTAAATATTTGTGCCAAAAAACTATTCAAATAGCCCCAAAATACATCAATCCCAAAACAATAAAAATGGTCAGTTATAAAGTCCACCATGAGAAGAAATGATATCTTCACACCAATAATGTGCATCAGCACCATAAAGACACACAGCTGCTTACCAAATTCTCAGATCTCACATGCAAGGAGGTCTGACAGCACTTTAGGGACAAATCCCAAATGGATGGATGGATGGTAACCAAACTTAATTATTGTGAGAAGTGGCTCGGCCCACTCTCGATTCCATAGACACCACTCAGATCCCCCACTGGACGTTCTGCAAATAGTAGGCAACATCATTTGGGGCTCAAGGTGAACATGCCAAACTGTGCCCCCCCCAAGATGTACGAGCATTATGTCCCCCCCCCCCCCCAAAAAAAAAGCCCTAAGCCTAAATTCCCCCTCCTCCCAGCACAAATCTGCTCCCCCACATCCACCCAGCTAAAATTTTCCTAGCACAAATCTTTTACCTCTCACTCCAAATCTCCCTCCCCAAACCCCCATCCTAGCACAAATACCCTCCGATAATCCCTATTAGCACAAATCCTCTTCCCCCTCCACCATATCCCTTTTTGTAGAACCCCCCTCCAAATCCCCCCTCCTAGCACATACTCTCTTCCCCCTCCCAACACAAATTCCCTCATATCACCATTCCTTGCACCCCTACCCCAAATTTCCCCTCCTAGAACAATTTTTACCCTCTGCTGCCCCTTAAATTCCCCCTCCCAACACAAATCTCCTCCCCCCAATCTCCTTATGGTGCCCCCCAACCACCTCACATGATACCACAGTGCCCAGGGCAGTCGCCCCTCATGCCCACCTCTTGTCCCGGCCCTGCATATCATACACACTGTATGTTCTCCTTGATGAACTACAATTTGATCTGTGCAACCAGATTTTGCTCCAGTCTCTTTGTCTATCCTGACAGGTTCCCCTTAAAGGTAAATTGGCCATTTTGAAAAAACAACAATTTTTTTACCCTCCATGCATTCCTAGAAAACTTCTGCAATGTTGATTGTGATTAAGGTGACCAGTCAGCTGAAGCCAGTCTGTATGATGGTCTCTGTGCACCTGACCAGTCTTGTTGTTGCGCCCCTCATGTCAATGTCACCATGTCAGCACTGAAATCAGTTTAGGACCATCTGATTGAGTGATTGCCAAGAAAATGTACAGGGTCTATGTTACCAGAATGGGTCATGGGAGCTTGCTGCCAGGAGTTCCCCCCACATTACCCTGCTGAAGATTGGAGGCCTGAGATGCTGCTGTCATGGGACCATGGATTAAGGGAAGCACTGTATATATGGGCCTTTTTTTTAATAGCTAATATTGCCAATGAGCAAGTAGAAGGATAACCAATCTGAACCCAAGCTTTTCCTTCAGTCTTGCACAGTTGTACAATCTCCACTCTTGTGCTCTAATTTCACTGCGCACTGTGAGCTTCTCACAGTGTGCAACACAATCTGCAACAAGTTAGAGCCCTTCTCATTTCCTTGCTGGAGAAGAATACTAAGGCATGGTGCTGTGATGTTTTCAGGAATCTATGTACAGGACCCTGCTGACCCGTCCCACCAATCATGATCTGCCATCTTTTCATAGAGAAGTGCAAAAACCCAGCGATGACATCCCAATGTCAGGAGCGTGTAAACGCTCCTGTTCTTTGACAGCTGCTGCTCCTATTCCAGCATCCTGGTTTTAGCTATAATGTTTCCCTGTCTGTCTGTCCACCTGCAAGGTGATTGATGAAGCCAGGCACTGGGTGGAGACCAAACCCGATTTAAGCCAGCCAAGCCTGAAGTCTCATGCTTGTGATAGCGCTGATTACATGTGCCCAAGCTCCCTGTTTGTTTACCCTACTCTGCTAATTTTGATCCCCTAGTTGATGACCTCGGATCGGATATTGACTACTTTCTGAAATCTTCCTGTCTGGACTGTCATTGAACAACTCTGCCTATCTGCCAACCGCAAGTACCAGTTTTCCTTGCTCAGTTCGTTCCTGCCTCAGCGTGGTGGCCAGGCACTAGAGCATTATGCATAAGTCCTAGGGGCAACCGAGTACCGGAAGGCCTACTTGCTTATGGGAAAGGGGGCTGCTATAGGTGAAGAATACAGAAACTAGCTATAGGGCCTGGCCACCTGCGTTAGGGAGAAGCATGACAACCTGTAAGACAAGGTAGGTAAAGAAAATGGAAAGTTGCATTTTAAAAAATTTAATTGGTATGTTGATGAGGGGTAATCCAGGGAAGGCAAAATATAAGCAGATTAAACATGATCTTTAGATGGTGTACTTATCATTATAAATCACATACAGACATAAGATGAATACGCATATTTAAAAAAAAAATCACAATTTAAAACATAAAAATTAAAAGGAGATGATATAACATGAAGATGTGAGATGTTTGTGTTAAATCAGTTGGTCTACCTATGACCAATTTAAAATCACATCCCCACCATCTAGCTATAGCTCTTGCACCCACAGGTGTATTACTGTTGCTTGGCCCATCTACATCGTATCCATTGGTCTTCCATTGGTCTTCCAATGACTTCACATGGCAATTTCATTGTGATCGCTGTTCTTCCTAATGCCTATAGCCCTTCAGCCTGTTCAGGAACTACAGTTCTGTATCGTAGTTATTCACAGCCCAATCTCTCCTGTCACTGTGCCGAACATGCTGTTTCTGCCACTGTACCCAACTGTTTTACAGCTGAGAGATTTTTGATGCCCTAAACACTAAATTCTAATTTGAGAGTCCTGGGGGTGCCCAGCCTCCTGAATCAGCGCACCGTGACAATGGCTCTGGATGCCAGAAACTGCGCAGTCAGGAAGATGTACAGACATCTGCTAGCACAGGCACGTGTCACGGGGGACACCTGCTCTTAGCAG